AGCTTTGATCCTGGGGCTACAGGAGCTCAGAGGACCCGGCCATAAGATCCAGGTGTCCCTCCGCCCCTGTGCTGGGGCTCCTCCTGCAGCCTGGCCCACTGGCGCCTCTGCTTCTAGGTTCTGCTCCCTGAGGATGACGGTGGTGGCTGAGGCTCACGAGTCCTGGCCCATGGGACATCACGAGTGCTCACTAAAGGCCAGGAGAACAGAGTGGACCCGGGAGTTGTTGCTGATGCCACCATCCTGGTGTCTTGTGGAAGGAGGCGGGTGGAGACCCCATGCCAGCCCTGTGAGCCTCCGGGCCTCTGGGGACCTGGTGCCCGCTGGCTCAGCAGCTGCCTCCACCTGCAGCAGGTATTTTGAGCGAAGCTTCCAGGCACTGCTTCCCTTCCCAGAAAGGTGCTGAGTCCGGGAAGTCATCTCAGGTCAGCGGGGGAAGGGAGGTGCTTGGGGGAACCAGGGTTCACATGGAGGTCCAGGGTAGCAGTGGGAATGGTAGGGACCGACAGCCCCCACTTCAGACCTACCCTGACCCTTCTTCACAAACAGCAACCATGGACCCAGTGCATGTATTTGCCTCAGTTTATCCTTCTGTAAAATGAGGGTCTTAGTGGTCAAGCATAATGGTGCACATCTGTGATCTTAGTACCCAGGAGGCTGAGGCAGGAGGATTGCTGTTAGACTGAAGCTAGCTTGGGCTACACTACATAGTGATACCTTGTCTCAGAGAGAGACACACACACAGAGAAAGACAGAGGGAGAGAGAGACAGAGACAAGAGCCTCTGAGTGAGCTTGGGGAGGAAGGGAAATACAATGCTCTTTACCTTTTACTGTGGTGAAAAATATGTAACATAAAATGCGCTATCTTAGCCATTTTAATGCACAGCTCAGCAGTATTAAGCACATTCATGTGGGCACGTAGCCTCCGCCACTGTCCCCTTCCAGAGCATCCCACCGCCACAGCAGGAAGCCCATCAGTCTCCATCGCTGCCATCTGTCCCCTCCCAACCCTAGCACCCGACTCTACATCCTGTCTGGATTTGCATATTCTGGGTGTTTCCTGTGTTTGGCATCTTTCACTGAGCACAGCACCCTCAAGGTCCCTCTACGCTGCGGTGTCATAGCCTCCTGACTGACTTCCGGTGTGTGGATGACCTCGCTGTGTTCATCTACTCATGGATGCCTGAGCTGCTTATACTTTTTTTTGTGTGTGTGTGTCTTTTTTGAGATAGGGTGTCACTATGCAGTTCAGGGTGGCCTTGAACTCACTTTGTAGCCCAGGCTGGTCTCGAACTTGCAATGATCTTCTTGCCTCAGCCTTCCAAATTCTGGGATTACAGGCATGCTCCACCACTTCTGGCTACTTACGTTTTTGTCTGTTGTAAATTGTGCCACCGTAAATGTCTCTGTTCATTTCATCACAAAGTCTATTTTATTCTTAAGTGTGGATTTCCAGAAATGAAGTTGAGAGGGGGTGGTGGCCTACACCTCTTATTCCAGCTACTAGGGAAGCTGAGGCAGGAGGATTGAAAGTTTGAACCTGGGAAACTTCATGTCTCAGTAAGACCTTGTCTCAAAATAAAAAATCAAAAGAGCTGGGACTGGAGTTCAGTGTGAAGGTCCTGAGTTCAATTTTGAGTACTAAGAGAAGAAAAGAAAAGAAAAGAAAAGAAGGAGGAACGGAGGGAGGGAGGGAGGGAGAGAGAAAGAGAGAGTGCAGTTGAATGTCTTGTTTTCCTTCCTGGTCTCCAGGGTGAGACCCCCATTCCTTTGGAGGTGCAGGCCGCCTGTGCATCACTTCTGGAATCCCGGGCGGCCCATCTGTGAGAAAACTTCTCCTGGATCCCATGTCCAGCTCCAAGCCCCACTTTCTCATTTCCTTGAAGGGAGGTAAAATTTACCCCACACCCCCATCATGTGATTCTTCCCTGAGAGCTGTCCTGTGACATTTAGCCCCCCTGGACATGGAAGCAGCTCCCCCAGCCCTTGATGCCTGGGAGAGGCCTGCAGGGAGGTACACTAGGGAACCATCCCCTGCTGCCTCTTGCAACCGCAGCCAGAGAAGCCCAGCAAGCAGCCAGGGCATAGGAGAGCTGGTCGTGTGTGGCGTCAGCTGACAGTCGGTAGCAGGGCTGTGGGCCAGGAATGCTCCTTTCTGTTTCCCCTCAATGCTTCTGGCCTCGGCCACCTGCCCAGCTCCAGGGCCAGGCCTGGCACCGCTCCCTGGGGCTGCCTGGGAAGGAGCTAAGGAAACCATATGGCAGGGACAGGACTTCTGGGTCCGCCCAGCCAGAGTCCCGGAAGGGCTTGTTCACTAATGGTCCTGCCCAGTGACTAGGTGCTCACAGGGACCCTGAGCCTGGTTCTACCCATCCATACTTGGGGCTAAGAATAGCTCAAACTTACAGCCCAGCTGCTGCCTGGAAACGGCCTGACTACCTCACGGTGACCCCCACGCCTTCCCTGAGCCCCAAATTGGATAAGTCTCCTCTCTCTCTCTCTCTCTCTCTCTCTCTCTCTCTCTCTCTCTCTCTCTCTCTCTGTGATGGGAACATCCAAGGCCTTCATGCTGAGCTCCACATCCAGCCCTTTTTGAGACTCTCTGTAAGATACTACATTGCCCGGGCTGGGCTCAAACATGTGATCCTCTTGCTTCAGGCTCCCTCTCCCTGAGTGCTGGGGTGACAGGTGTGTTCCATCGCACACAGCCCCAGTGATACCTCTTATTTTTTTATTTTTTGTGTTTGCTTGAGGAAGGCTTCACTACGCAGTTCAGGCTGATCTTGAACTCACTTTGTAGCCTAGGCTGGCCTCAAATTCGCAGCAATCCTCCTGCCTCAGCCTCTCAAATGCTGGGGTCACAGGTATAGGCCACCACAGCTGGCTTATTTTTTATCTTGAGGCAGGTTTTGCTAAATTGGTAAATTTCTTAATGCTGGGCAGACGGGCCTGCGCCACCTGATTTTCTTTTTTCTTTTTCTTTTTTTCTGATTTTCTTAATGGATGTACCCCTGAGGATTTCAGAGTACTTGTGATGTGGTGGCTCAGGCCATGTGCCTTGGAGTTCTCTGCCTGCCTCCTACCTCTACACCTGTTCATTAGCTCTGCAAGGGGGCTCCCTGGCATAGCCAGCTAATGCCTAAGCAACCCCAGAATTCTCCAACAAGCTGGGACCGAGACCAGAGCCCCACAAAGGAGGTTTTTTTTTTTTTTTTTTTTTTTTTTTTTTTTTTTAGATAGGGTCTTGTATGCAGTCCAGGCTGGCCTTGACCTCTATGTATCTGGGGCAGGCTGAGGCAGGAGGATCACCACAAATGCACTGTGCCCAGGGTCCCCCACACCCTGATGCCCCCATCTGATACACCAAGTGGATGTGTGCCTGCACAGAAGGTCTCTCCTGGGCTGGGGTGAGAGCTCAGTGGTCAAGCACCTGCCTAGGCAAGCCCAAGGACCAGATCCCGGGTACAACATGTCATGCTGGCCCAGCCTGGGGCAGGTGAGCTGGCCACCAAGACTGGGCGTGGTGATGCATGCCTTTGATCCCAGTGCTGGGGAGGCTGTAAACAGGAGGATCACCATGAGTCTGAGCTGTGTAGTGAGACTCTGTACCAAACACATGCTTAATTAATCAATCAATCAATCAATCAATCAATTTTAAAAAATATATCTCCCGATCCCAGTGGGGTGGGTTGGCTGGGTTCTGAAATCTGGGCTCTGGAAAATCCCGAGGCCTAATTCCTGCCACGAGGAGCCCTGCCAGCCCCTCCCCATGCATGGTGTTACATAACACTTGGGGATTAATCCTCAGCTGTCCAGAGGCAGCTGCCTAGATCACATCCACTGCTGTCCCTTTGTGACATCCCTGGGCCTCTGTGTGCTTGTCTGGAAAATGGGGATGGTGTGGTGGCAGCACATGGGAAAGAGGCTGAGCTGTTTGGCATTCAGACTCACCACCAACTCAGGACCATCTCCATTCTATGCCTTGTGGCAGAAGTCACAACCCACGGTGCCGCCCATCTGTCCCCCTCTTTTTCTTCTCTGGCCATACTAGGGTTTGCAGCTTTTTTTTTTTTTTTTTTTTTTTGGGGGAACCGGGGTTTGAACTCAGTCCTTTGCGCTTGCCAGGGAAGCACTTATTCCACTGAGCCATCTCCCCGGCCCCCTTTTTTTTTTTTTTTTTGGTAGGGTTTGCACCTTTGTACTGAGCCTTTGCACTGATCTACACCCCCAGCCCTTTTTATGTTTTATTTTAATTTTGAGAGAAGATCCTGCTAAGGTGCCCAGGAGAGATAGAAATGGCCGTCTTCCTGCCTCAGCCTCCCCAAGTATCAGGATGACAGGAGTGTGCCACCACTGCCAGCTTCTCATTCTTCTCAGCTAACCTGACCATATATGTGACGTCCCTACACTGACTGCTTCAGCCCCTGGGGTGCGCACACCCCCACCCCTGTCTGCTTGTCTCCTACACCAGTCCTCACTCCCTTCTCTACCAACTGCAGCCCTAGCGGTTCTGGACTTCTCTCCTGCTCTAAATCTTGCTGTGGCTTCCCGGTGCCTCAGGTGATCAAGGGCCACATGACGCTGTGGGGCTCAGGAATCATCCGCAGAGGAGCCACAGTAACTTTCTGGATCACCAGACTTTGGGGAGAGCCCCACAAGTCCCACGCATATACCCCTGCGTCCTGGGACGTCTTTGGAGAGAACCTGTCAAGGACTTCAGCCTCAGTTTCCTGCTGGGTGAAATGGGCTCAGCGTGTGTCCCCAGTCCAGGGCAGGACTGAACCCACGGGCCTTGCGCATCCTGGTGCTGGACCCTGCCGCTAGGGAGTCCTGCCTACCCGGTTCCCCTCACACCTGTCATTTCCCGGGGTGTCTGTCCCCCGAGCGCCCGGGCTCCGCCCCGTTCCTCCCCCCTCACCAATAAGACGCTCTCGGGCTGCGCGGGCCCAGAGCCGCAGCGCTGCGCTCTCGGTCCCAGCTGCGCCCAGGCCCCGCGCAGATGGAGCCCGCGACCAGGCGCCGGCGCAGGAGTCGCCAGCTGGTGGCCGCCTTCCTGCGTGACCCAGGCTCGGGACGCGTTTACCGGCGCGGGAAGCTTATAGGCAAGGTGGGGTCCTCCCACCCCAGACCGAGTCCCTGGCGAGGCGCTGGGCCAGGTGGAGTGGTCGGGGCGGGCGGGCCGGGGCGGGGCCGGGAGTGCGCGCGAGGCCAGCGCAAAGTGTGTGGCGCGCCCTGCGGATCGTGCGACTGGCTTTTGTCCCTGCGTGTGGCGCGCGTTCCTGAGAGTTTGGGGTCCTGCGCGGTGTCTGTGTGGCTGGTCGTCCGCGGATGGATGGCGGGAAGCCGTGGTTGGGGTGCGATATCTGTGGGTTATGTTGGGGTGTGTGTGTGTGTGTGTGTGTGTGTGTGTACACACGCCTCTGTGCCTTTGTATGAGTCTGTCCTGGTGTGTGTGTGTGTGTGTGTGTGTGTATGTGTGTGTGTGTGCTTCATCCACACGTCATGTCTGTGTTATGCTGTTGATGTATTTGTGGAATGTGTATGTCCAGATGTGTTGTGTATCCAGATACTGGGTTGTGTTGTGTCTAGATATTGTGTTGCGTCTAGCTCCTGCACTATGGTCCCTAGGCTTGTGCATATGGGTCTGGCTGTGTCTGCTTGAGTGTTATATGTTCCTGTGATGTTTTGTGTGTCTGTGGGTGGTGTTTCTGTGTCTGTGAATTCCGTGGTCCCATGTTGGGTTGTATGACCAGGTACTGGTGGTGTGTGAACTGTACGTGTCCTAGTCCAATGTTGTCCATCCCTGTGTTTGTTAAGTATGAGTGTTGTCTTGTGTGTTCATTTTTTCTGTGTCTGGGAGCTGTATATTGGTTTTGTGTCCAGAGGTTCTGTTGTGTGTGTGTCCATTTTTTGAGTCTCTGGGTGGTATTGTGTGTCCAGGCATGGGTTGTGTTCATAGGTTGTCTGTGTTCTGTGTCTTTGAACCTGTGTGTGTCTATGTATTTGTGTGTTGTGTCCAGGTGTGAGAGCTGTACATACTTGCATGTCTACATATGTGTGAGGAGGAAGGCCCCTGTGGCCCTGTGCACATGCTGGCTTGCACATCTGAGGCTCCGTGTTTACACACCTGAGCACACTGTCCCCTCCACAGGGTGCCTTCAGCCGCTGCTACAAGCTGACTGACATGTCCACCAGCGCTGTGTTCGCCCTCAAGGTGGTGCCGCGCAGTGGGAGTGGTGCAGGGCGCCTGCGTCCCAGGGGGAAGGTACAGTCCTCACCACCATCCCTCGGTGGGCTTCGTGTCCCAGAGAAGACCCTGCCTCCCCTCCCCCGGTGGGTGTGGTGCATGTGCGGCATGTGTGTTTGTGTGTGGCCCCCATGGGGTTCCCTGCTGTCCCCATGTATGGGTGGTGCCCACAGGTGGAGCGAGAAATCGCTCTGCACAGCAGCCTCCGCCACCGAAACATTGTGGCCTTCCACGGACACTTTGCGGACCGCGACCACGTGTACATGGTGCTGGAGTACTGCGGCCGCCAGGTGCGGGGTGGGAGTGGGGGGAGTAGGGGTGGGGTGCACATGCCCAGTCTCGTCTCCCTCACCCATGCGTGCCTACCCCTTGTTCCTCCTTTCCTCCCTGATTCTACCTGTGCCCATGTCACACTCTTTGAAAGCCCTGTCTGCCCACCAGTGCTTCCTGGGTCCACTAAAGGGTATCTCTGGGCATCTTTTATCTCTCTCACGGACCTGGGCACTTTTGACAACTCACCTGACACAGCTCATGTCACGGGTGGCTACCTGGGCTCATCTGAACTTTTATTTTTGGTTCTGGGGATTGAACCCATGGCCTTTGCACTGAGCTACATCCTCAGCCCTTTTTGTTTTTTTATATTGAGACAAGGTCTCACTAAATTGCTAAATTGCCCAGGCTGGGCTCAAATTTGTGATTCTTCTGCCTCAGCGTCCCAAAGTGCTGACACGGCACAAGGGTGCCACACACTTCACCTCCTCTGAACTTAGTTGCTCCTGTGCAGCCCACCTGAACTCGCCCTTGGCCAGCTCTTCCCACCTGCATGCCCCGGAGCTTCCCCGAGAGCCTCTTGCTCTTGCCTCACAATGTACCTGTGCCCACCCACGACCAGCCATGCCTGCCTCTGCCACCTTTTCTTGGGCGGGTCCCTTGGGCTGGCTCTGCTCTTACCTGCCCCTGAGGAGACGGGTGCTCCTTTGTCTGGTCACCTGCAGTCACTGGCCCACGTGCTCAAAGCAAGGCAGACTCTGACAGAGCCTGAGGTGCGCTATTACCTGCGGGGTGTGATCAGTGGCCTGCGCTACCTGCATCAGCGTCGCATTGTGCACCGAGACCTGAAGCTCAGTGAGTGGGGTGGGGGGGAGTAGAAAAGGGTCCTGCAGGGGAGGGCTGGAGGCTGTGTCTCATCTCCCCTCACTCCGGTGTCCCCCACCCACAGGTAACTTCTTCCTAAACAATAACATGGAGGTAAAGATTGGAGACCTGGGACTGGCTGCCAGGGTGGGGCCAAGTGGCCACTGCCACAGGTAAGCAGAGCTCTCAGGGTCCCTCTGGGTGGGTCCAGGTGTGGCGTGAGGGCCCCGCCTTCCTACAGCCTCAGTCTTTCCCTCCCAGAGTGCTCTGTGGGACCCCAAACTTCCTGGCCCCGGAGGTGGTGTCCCGGAATGGGCACACGTGCCAGTCGGACATCTGGGCTCTGGGCTGTGTCTTGTGAGTGGGGCCCCTGGGACACTGGGGTGGGGCAAGCAGGACTACTGAGGGGGACTAGGTGGGCCAGGTGTGGCCAGGTGAGAGCAGTGAGCGCTCAGGGAGGAGGCCCCAGGCAGGTGGGGACACAACCTGCCACCATCACCATGTGCAGTGATGAACAGGACATGCAGAGGGTCAGAATGCACAGCTCAGATTTAAGTTTTTTAAAAGTATCACAGTCTAATTAATTTTTAAAAAAGCAAAAAAAAAGTATCACAGGGCCGGCCAAATAGCTCAGTGGATTAAAGCAACTGCAAGCAGGTTCAGGGGTCAGGGGGTCCATCCCCAGGTCTGCTGTGCCAGAACCACCCCCCCAGGGTGCTCTGAGACTGTGATTGAGAGTGGGCGTGGTGGCATGCCTCTGTAATCCCAGCTCTTGGGAGGTTGGAAACAGGTGGATCACTATGAGTCAGTCCAGTCTAGTAGTAAGACCCTGAACACCCTGTAGACCCTTTCTAAAAATAAAAAAAAAAAAAAAAAAAGTATCACAGTAAGAGTCACGTTGTCACGAATTCCCATTAAATCTTCACTTCCGGGGCTGGAGAGATGGCTCAGTGGTCTAAAGCACCTACTTGGAACAAGCTTAATAAAGCACAGGGACCGCGGTTCGATCCCCCAGCACCACATGCCAGCCAGCCCCGCCCCCTGGTGGGCTGAGCTGCCCCCCCCCACTAAATAAATGTTAAAAATAAATAAATTTAAAAAAAAATAAAAATAAATCTTCACTTCCAACACACTTAGTCCATAGTTCTGGCCACTTTCTGCAGCAGCTCTGCAGTTCTTTTTCCAGGGTCTTTTATTATTATTAAGTTTATTGCTACAGGGGCTGGGGATTTGCTCCGTAGTAGAACACTTACCTAGCAAGCGGGAAGCCCTGGGTTCCATCCTTGGCGCCAAAACCAAAACATAAATCTCCCCTAAAAAGCAATTCAACCAAAAAAATACAGTTTAAAAAAAAAAGTTTATTGCTACATTTAAAATATAAATAGGCTGAGGAGATAGCTCGGTGGTCTAAGTGCCCGCCTGGCAACAGAGAGACAGGGTTCAATCTCCAGAACCACTTGCAGGGCCAGTCCTGCCCTGGGGGCCCACTAAACCAGTGACTGAGACTATGCATGGTGTCACATGCCTGTAATCCCAGTGCTGGGGAGACTGAGACAGGAGGATCACTATGAGTTCGAGCTGTGTAGTGAGATCCTATACCAAAGAAATAAATAAGAGATTAAAATAAAATAATGGTTAAAAATAAATAAATAAAATAAAATAATGGTCATTTTCATCATAGGGACTTTGCATTGCCACATGGCTTATTGCAATTCCTCTTTTTGAGGTATAATCAAAAGTAGGGGCCGGGGAGATGGCGCAGTGGAATAAGCACTTCCCTGGCAAGTGCAAGGG